GTATTATAGGAATTTTTTATTAAAGCAATAGTATCCAAAGCATATGATATTTTAGGAAAGCCAAGGCTTTAGCTTGTAAAACAACAGGGTCATCTGTCCCAGTTTAAGCTACGGCACTAGGTTGAGTTGGGGTCATGGGTTAGTTGCCCCCCCTTGGATTGTGGGTGAGGCCAACCCCTATCCTAAAATTTTTATTCACCAAAATTTTTTTTTACTTAATCTTTGCAAATTGACTACTTGGCTTCTACATTTAGGACCAAAAAGAGTGTATGATATAGAGTAATCCAACATCTCTCACTCGCTTGTTTTTTCCTCCTCTCTTAACTCTATATTCTCTTCTTCATGTGCATTTGCTATGTGGTATAATTAATCATAGTCCAATTTGTGATTCAGATTCGTGTGGGCATTTCAGTCAGTCACAAGAATCAAAACCTTACAATTATATACCTTGCTAGAAGAGAAGGGAACGGATTTCACAACTTCAAGGGGCAGGACGGAGGCTTCATTAGAGGCGTTGGTGAAGAACAAGTTCATTTGGTGAGCAGGCTTCAAGTCTCTTTCCAGAAAGATGAGAGATGAATAGGGTTTATGTTGGAGTTGGATCTCAGCCTCGTCGTAAATAATGAACACACCTCCAGCATACTGTTGAAATGCAGCTGACATATAATTATCATACTTGGCGTGGATGGTAGTGCGCCTACCTATAATTATCATATCAAAAACACCTAGAAATATAATGTGAACTTTGAATTTGGCACACAAGTGCAAAATAGTATTTCTTAATTAGAGAGTCTTTTTTAACTGCAGTTAAAAGAAATAACCATGAACTTCAATACCAACCAGCTCATGAGTGGAGTCCATTTGAGATAGATTTGGGCATGGGAGTATTGGGAAGAATGGACTTCCAGTAAAATTCATGAAGCATGGCAGCATGGCCAACCTGAGATTTCATAGATAATATACAAATACACATCCACAATATAAAGTTTCATTAGTCCAAGAAAAAGAAAGAAAGAAGAGAAGGAAGCACTAACCAAAAAAAAAAAAAAAAACAAGAAGAAGAAGTTTTGGGGCCCATTATATTATTGTGAAAGTAAGTCGAAGCTTACCGTGATAAATGCAAGGATGGGGAGGAGGAGTGAAAGCTTCGTGACTGGAGAAACTTGATACTGAAACTGCAAATAATGAGTCTAGCTTAGAGGAATTAGATACAGACGTGGAAAATGGCAAAGATATTGTTATGTTTGTGAGGTATAGGACCCAGACTTGGATCTCAATATCCATATGATTTGAAAGCTGACATCATTTTTTATGGCTTATAGCTTACATCAAATATGAGTGCTCACTTTGATTAGAAAAAACCGAGTTAATATAGTTTTTTGTCCTTGAAATTTAGTTTATTTTGGTTTTGGTCTTTCAAATTTTAACACATGGTCTTAATCCCTAAAATTTAGTGTGTTTTAAAATGTTAGTTTCTAAAGGTGTAATAGTATTAAAATCTAAAGAAGTATCATAAAAGACATTAAAGTGATAACATAAAATCACCAAATGACACCTAATTAGATCTTATGTAGATAACAAGGAAAAAAAAACAAGTCCTCAAAACACAACACAGAGAATGATTATAAAGAGGGGCATGGGTTTTCAAAACACATTGTAATAAACTACTCATGCGAACAGTGAAGAGAAAAGAAGGTTAAATAGATATGTTTTGAAAACTTGTTTTTTGTTTTTTGTTTAATTCGCTATTATCCATACCAGATTCAAATAGGTGTCATCGATCTGCTAAGTCTATATCACATTCTAACGCCATTTATAATACTTTAACAAATTTTAATACCATTTGTCAAAGCAAAACAAAAAAGGCCTAAAGCAAGCCTATTACTAATAGATGATTGCCCAAGATAACATTAAATCTGTTATCATACATATCTACACTATACATTTATTTGTTGTATCCTACACGTGTAATGATCTTGTAAATGTTAGGATTATGGTTTTGATGATAACAAAGTTAAATTAAATTGGTTAATTGTGTTGATCGATCATTTGATCGATCAAATGATTATCGATAAGCTGTCAGATAACTCTTCAGTGTAAATCAGTTTAATGTTAAGTATTTTAATCGATGAGCTATTCGATAATTCATTGATCGATAAAATGATCGATTATCGCTAACGTAAAAGTCATATAAGGCAATTGTCAATTATCGATAAATTGATCGATAATCCAAGATGATTGAACAAGTGACAGATAAAAAGAAGTGAATCTGAACTGACTTTATCAATCAAGTGATCGATAAATACATTATTGATAACGACATCGATAAATGGTAAGGCACTCTACCTATTTTGCTTACTGATTCTATCATTGTTTATCGATCACATTATCGATCATTTGTTTATCGATAATATGATCGAACATTGAGCTCTAACCTTCTGAATGCAGGTACTGATTATAGACTAGTGATCGATAACTTTATCGATCACCAAGTTATCGATAACATGATTGATAATTTATGTTCCAGTTGCTTCTACTTAGTTTTCCTAGAACTAAATTATCGATAACCTTATCAATAATCAAGCTCTTCTACATAATACTTTTTCAGATAACATGATCGATAAACAACTTTAGAACAAATCCTTTACTTCATTGTTTATCGATAATATGATCGAACATGCATTGATCGATCACCTATTCAATAATTCTTGCTATCCTTGTTTCTCACTGAATGTTTTACACTTGACCTTTATCGATAACATTATCGATCACAGCTTTATCGATAATGTGTTCGAGCAACAAGCACTAAAGCTTCATTTCTATAACACTTGAATTATCGATAAGATGATCGATCAACCTTCACTCGATAAATTGATCGATCATTGATCTCTGTTAGTTTAATTTCAGCGAGCTATAACATCTTTCATATTCACCTGTCTACTTACTTTCAAACTATCTTTAGTTTGCATAATCTTTTTGACTATTTTACTAAGAGATTTATATTCAAAGGAACTCTGGTTTACATATCAGCTTAAGATTTCCTGTTGCATTTTATCGATCACTTGATCGATAAACCATTGTTCCATCATCTGATCGATAAACTTCTTCAACTGATCTAAAAAACTCTCACTCTATTTATCGATAACTTGATCGATCAACCAGTATCGATCACTACTTCGATCAATCATGTCCAGAATATTTTTCTGCACTTTTGATGGACAATTGATTTCATCTAGAATCATTGAGTAATCAAATAATCATTCTTTCTGTTTCATTTTAAAGCTTACACTGCAAGATCTTACTTGTTGAAGTTTAAAATATGGTTGCAGATTACTAAGAGAAATTACAACGGCTCTTCAACGGGATTACGCAACCTGCAACCTACTGTGTCAGAAACGCAAAAGCATTAATGGCAGAACCGTTGTAACTGGGAAAACACGCAAACGGAGTCACAACGGCTAGAAGCTTATCCGTCTAACGGTTACTTAATGACCGCAACTATAAAAGGCACGAAGAAGCATTAATGAGAGGATTGAATACGCGAACTACCGTTTGTAATCATTTACTACTACATTCAATACTATGTTTCTTCATTATTACTGAGCGTCAGTGTTCATCATTTATTCTACTCTGTAAGAGAGTCAATATCTATCTTTAATTAATCATCTGAGTGATACTCAAGAGTGTGGACTCTTGAGTGGGCTTGTATCCTTACGGGAGTAAGGGGGAGTGATTAAGTGATTCAATTACTATACTAAGGCACCAAGAGCCCAATCAATCTTGGAAGATAGTGAAATACTCAGAGGTGTTCTGAGGACTGGACGTAGGTCAAGTGGTTAAGACCGAACCAGTATAAATCCTGTGTCTTCCTCTCTGCGGTGAAATCCCTCCTAACTCTAACTCTCTGTTTCCGATATTGTCTGATTTTAATTTCGTAATTTTTTTTTACTCACCCAATTCACCCTCCTCTTGGGTGAGATTGCTACTAACATTTGGTATCAGAGTAGGTCTCTTCATTAAAGATTTAATAGTCCGAAGAGAGATCCAATGGCAGGATTCGGAGACAGTGTGCTACCAGAAGGATGCTTAACGTCCAAACCGCCAGGCTTCAGTGGAGAAAATTACACCTTCTGGAAAATGAGGATGAAAATCTTCATCAAGGCCACAGAGTATGGATTGTGGGACATAATAGAGCACAACAACTATGTCCCAATGAAAACAATAGATGGACAGCAAGTACGCAAGAGTCCCAAGGAGTTCGATGAGGAAGACAAGAAGCTGGTGACCCTAAACGACAAAGTTATCAACATACTCACATGTGCACTTAGCCAGAGGGAATACTTCAGAGTTTCCAGCCTGGAGACTGCAAAAGAAATGTGGGAAGCCCTGGAGATAGCTCATGAAGGAACCTCTGGAGTAAAACAGAGCAGAATCAACACTCTCACCACAGAATTTGAACTCTTCAGAATGAAGGAAGGGGAGAGTATACGAGACATGGAAGTCAGATTCTCACATCTCATAAACCACCTAACGACACTCGGAAAGAAATACAGTCAGGAGGATCAGGTGAGGAAAATCCTAAGCGGTCTCACAAAAGAATGGGAACCGAAGGTGACAGCAATTGAGGAAACCAAAGGAGAATCAATTGGGTCCGTTGCAGCATTATTCGGAAGTCTTGCCGAATATAAAAGCAAGCAAAAATACAAGAAGGAGATGAATGAGAAGAACCACAAAGGCATCGCCCTTAGAACTCAAGAGAGCGAAGATGACAACGAAGAAGATATGGAGGATGACGAAATGGGCCTTATCATCAGAAGATTCAAGAAATTCTACAAGAGTAGAGCTGGAAAGAAGTTCTAGACAAAACGCAGAATTTCAACATTGCAAAATGAATCAAAAGAGCCTATCATCTGCTTCGAGTGCAAGAAACCAGGACACATCAACGCAGAGTGCCCTCAGCTGTCCAAGAAGAAAGATTAAAAAAGAAGAAGGCTTTCGTCATGTCAATATGGGGAGACAGCTCCTCGGAGGAAGAAGAAGAAAGTAATGATGAAGAAACGGCAAACATTTGTCTAGTGGCCCAGGAAAACGAGGAATCAGAGACAGATGAGGTAATCATTTCAGAACCTTCCTATGATGAGTTATAGTCTGAATACAATGCATTATTTAGAATTAGTTAGAATTGCAAAGGAGTTGGTAAGCTCCAAGAAAAGAATAAAGTTCTTAGAAGAACAACAATCAAAGTCTGAAGACAATGTAGATTCGCTCCCAGTTTGCAAAGATTGCGAAATAAACAAAAAAGAAGGTTGAGGATCTTACCAAAACCTTAGAAAAATTTACTAAGGGTAGTGAAATGCCTAAAGTAATCTTAGGAGCTCAATGATGTTCAATGGACAAAACCGGTATAGGATACGATCCAGCTCAGGATAAGTCAAAGGGAAAGAAAAAGAGTAGTGGTAGATCATATCTTACATATTTTAGAAATACTGTGCATTCTTCCAATCCATTTACACTATGTTCTTACTGCAACCGTAAAGGCCATTCAACTTCTTCTTGTTACCATAAGAAGAAAGGAACCTGCGGAACATTAAAATGGGTGCCCAAAGGTACTTATGTACCAAAGATAACTCATACTAACCAAAAAGGACCCAAGAAGGTATGGGTACCTAAAACATGATTGTGATTTTGCGGATATGTCTCAAGGCATCCAGAACAAACAAATGGTATATTGACAGTGGATGCTCTAGACACATGACGGGTGACACTGAGAAGTTTACATCACTCAAACTAAAGGAAGGAGGAAAAGTAAGTTTCAGAGGAAACCAATCAGGAAGAATTACTAGAATCAGAGAAATTGGAAGTAACATGGGCATGAAGGTCGAAGATGTATACTACGTGGAAGGTCTATGTTATAATCTCCTCAGCATCAGTCAAAGTGGGGACAAAAACAATTGGGTGATCTTTGATTCTAAAGAATGCTTAATCATAAGCAAAGATGACCTACCTTTGAAGAAAGAAGAGTTTAATACAAAGCTGAGAGCTCTGAGGGACGGTAACTGTTATACACTTCAAATCGATTCTAAAACCTCTGAAAACTGTTTTATTAGTAAAAAGGAGGAAAGTTGGATTTGGCTCAAACGTCTTGCACATGTTAACATGAATCAACTTTCAAAATTAACAAAAAGGGATTTAGTTCTCGGTTTACCAAAAATTCAGTATAAATGTGATATTATTTGTGATGCATGTCAAAAGGGTAAACAAACAAAGTCTTCATTTAAATCAAAGAAGACAGTCTCAACTGAAAGGCCACTCCAAATGCTCCACATGGATTTGGTTGGTCCATCAAGAGTAAAAAGTTTTGGTGGAAATCTGTACACTCTTGTGATAGTTGACGACTATTCGAGATTTACCCGGACTTTGTTTCTTTCCTCTAAAGATGAAACGTTTAATGCATTCACTGTTTTTGCCAAAAAGGTCCAAAATGAGAAAGGTATATCTATTGTGTTGATTAGGTCTGATCACGGAGGAGAATTTGAAAACAACGAATTTGTAGACTACTGTGAAGAACATGGAATTGGCCACAACTTCTTTGCACCAAGAATTCCTCAACAGAACAGAGTAGTTGAACGAAAGAATAGAGTGCTCACGGAAATGGCTAGAGCAATGTTGAACGAGAAAGGAGTCTTACAAGTATTCTGGGCAGAGGCAATGAGTACAGCTTGCTACATATCCAATAGACCCTACATCAGAACGCTGCTCGGAAAGATGCCATATGAACTGTGTAAGGGGAGAAAACCTAACCTGACTCATCTAAGGATCTTCGGGAGCAAATGCTATATTCACAACAACAACAAAGAAAATTTGGGTAAATTCGATCCTAAAGCTGATGAGGGTTTGTCTCTTGGTTATTCTAATCATAGTAAAGCTTACAGAGTTTTCAATAAACAAACTTTTACAATAGAAGAATCAATTTATGTTGTGTTTGCTGAAACTGAACCAATTTCAAAACCTCTAGATGATGATGCTTAGATCGTTCAAAACTTTCAAAAACTGGATTTGAACAAAACTTCAAACAAATTACCCACAGAAACCTTTCCAGAAAACAGAGATGATTTAAACGATCCTTCTTCACAAGAAAATCTAGAACAGCCAAAGGCGTGGAGACATAACCTAAATCATCCACTGGAACAAGTCATTGGTAAAGTCAATAAAGGGGTCAAAACCCGGAGACAAGTGTTCAATGAAGTTCATTTTTCTGCATTCATATCTCACATTGAACCCACCAGTATTGACGAAGCACTATCCGATGAATTCTAGATAGTTGCAATGTAGGAAGAGCTTAACCAATTTGAGAGAAATCAAGTTTGGGAATTGGTACCCAGACCAGATGATCATCCGGTCATTGGCACCAAATGGGTATTCAAAAATAAGCTCGATGAATCTACACAAATCGTCAGGAACAAAGCCAGATTTTTAGTTAAAGGATATAATCAAGAAGAAGGTATCAATTATGAAGAAACGTATGCTCCAGTAGCCATATTGGAAGCCATACGAGTACTTTTGGCATTTGCTTGCATCAAAGATTTCAAACTATATCAAATGGATGTTAAAAGTGCATTTCTGAACGGTTATATCTTAGAAGAAGTTTTTATCGAACAACCTCCCAGTTTTGAAAACTCAAATTTTCCTAATCACGTTTACAAACTTAAAAAGGCTTTATACGGTTTAAAGCAAGCTCCTAGAGCCTGGTATGAACGACTTAGCAACTTCTTAATAGAAAAAGGATTTGAAAGAGGTAAAGTGGATGCCACAGTTTTCATCTATATATCTTAAAGATGTATGATCTAAAAAGTATGTGCTCAAGCCGTTTGCCTAAGTCGGCTTCTCTAATAAATATACTGTTCATATAAACAGTTCCAGCTTTATTAGGCTCCGTGCATGGGCATCTATTTCTTATGCCAGTATGATTGTTTTTTCATCTCCCTTTTTTCAACGCATAGGTGAATCATGAGTTGCTGCTTCCTCTTCTTGAAATCCTATTGTACAAGTAGGAAGGCTATCAACAGGTTGGGTGTCCCACGCCCATATAATATATAGCACTACCTTCTCCCACATCTTATTTCTTAGCATTTTGTCATTCGTATTTATCTCCTGTCTCATATTCATGGCTTTTGAGTTTCACAGGCTCGATGAATTGGCACCTTCTATGGAGACCTGGACAGTTGTGGTGAAGGTCGACAGGGTGTTCACTAGGACTGAGTATGATGTTACTGAGAGGGACTTGGGATATCCGAAGAAGCTGATCTCTCTAGATATGATAGTGTTCGACGAACAGGTATTGCATCTATGGTAATAAGTCCATGTATTTTACTACTCCACGTATGTGCACATCTTTGTTCATCCCATTTATATTATTTTGCTACAGCAAACTAGGATGCTTCTCAGGATCGATGGGGATGAGCTGATAGATCACTTTTGTAACCTCATCATCGAGGGACAGGTTTACTTGATTCAATACTTCTCTGTTGGTCTTGGTGGTGGGGGTATCCATTCGAAGCATCATATAGTTGTCCTTCATAACATATTAGTGCAGGAGCGAAATTTCATATTCCCTCTCTATTGTTTCAAGATCTGGTTTGTGGAGGCCATACGTAGGGATTCATCTCCTGGTTGCAAAGTAAGAGGTACGACATCTTCTGATATGGAACATTTCATGTGATGTATAATCACATTTTACTCCTAAGCAACTGATTATATGTCCATCATGATTCAGATGTGTTTGGACTGTTAGTCAGCATCGAGAAGATTAAATGGGCTAGAGTCAGGGGCGTGCTAACACGTGTTATGACATTTGTCATAAGAGACCCTCAGTGAGTTAAAATCATGTGAATTCCTATGCATCAATTTTAACCATTACGGGATTTTACCCTTCTATTTCAGTTTTGGTTAAATCAGGGGAGATATGGTACGGTGTGTTCTTTTCGGTGACTCTGCTGATGAGGCATGGAAGAGTTATCTGCCTTTGAAAAGAATGCATAAACTTGTCGCTCTGATCAACTATGCAGTGGTGAATAGGCAGCACGGTATGATGAAAGACCACGTGTTCCTTTAGCTCATACAGTTTAATATAATGACTTCATACCACTCATTGTTCTCCTCATCTCATCTTCCATCCTGCAGGGAAGTTCTGCCTCAAGAACTATGCGAATGCAACAAAGGTTTTCTGGAACCCAACCTTCACCGAGATAATGCTGCTTAGGAGAGCTTTGCTGTTGGGTGTTATAGCTTGATTTCCTGACTGGCTTGATGGTTTAATGGAGTCTGGCAGCTGGTGCTATTTTGTTAGACAGAAGGCGATGGTCAAGCTACTGTGGAATGTGTCTATGGATATTTGTATTTTGGGCATTGGGCTATTATTCATTACTAGTAGCAGTAGTATGGAGTTTGGACTATTGTCAATTTATCTCTTGTAGCATATTTTGAGTTCCCATTGTCGTGTATCTTCAACACTGTATTTACTACGATCAAAGTTTGTATGTTGAACCAGCAAAATTTGAATATAATATCCTTTACTTATCCCATGAATATTTACACGTCCAAATGATTTTGAACCTGATAAACTACCTGGTAGTGGAATAAGGTCTTCTAGCATTTCATCCTCATTTTATGTGTCAGTTCAAACACATTCGATAACTGGATATTGACAAAGAAACCAATCAAATTTTATCTGAGATGCCAACATATTGCTGTAGATTTTCTTTCAGATATTGTAGCACATGTATTAATCATGTTGTATTCAGAATAATAAATCAATTATGAAAGGTAATATTAGATACAAAGAAAAAAAAATTTGTTTTGATTTATATTAAAGTTCATACCAATCAACTTGTTGCAAGAGTCTCTCGTATTTGAAAAAATTCATAAATGCATTTTCTACTAATCCAATCTCTTGATAAAATGTTTGAGTGTACAAGTTATATTGATTTGATTGTTGGTGAAACACTTTAGTACTTTTTCTGACAAGTTGGTCAGCATATATAAGGGGTATGGCAACCATTTGAAAATGTAGTATTCAATGAACAACTCCGTCAATACTTAAAACCCATGCTAAAACCTGCTTTGCAAGTCAGAAATGAAATGACCTGGTGTCATTGCCATATCAATCTCAAGTCCCCATGAACCTGACCCCGAATAGTGCATGTAGTGGTATGCTTTTATGCAATATATTAGTATTTACTCTGGTATGCTTTTAGAAGAGGTTACAAGATGAATTTTCCAACCTTCAGTCAGCCCATTCTGACCTATTTTTCTTCAACTATGCTATGTGTGTGTACGTGAGAAAAAAATTATATTTAAGTCATTTAGTTTATTGATTTAATATGCATGACGTGTAGAGATGTGAGGTGAACATTTTGAGCATTTACTTTAATTTCGCAATGTTTGTCAATAATAAACTATGGTTAGTTGTGCATGATTCAAGACATTCATAGGCCATTCTTCAATTTGATTTAGAAGGTTAATATATTGTGATAGGACAGATGATCCTATAAATTGAAGGGCCATAGATGATGGGATTTTGCTGATCTTTACCAGCGTTGTCTCATTAATGCTTGTCTTAATGGCCTTCACAGCTATGTTATGATTTAGCACAGCTAATACATACAGAGCGGGCGATTTGCTGATCTGTCGCATATCAGTATCCATTATGAGGATTTATTCTTGGTTTGTATCAATAGACAAGCAATCTTTTTTCACGCTGCTAGAGCTTGGATTAATCTATTCCAATCCTGAGACGGCTCACAGGGCTCCATGTGATATTTTGTGTGCCATAAAGATATGATGTAGCCTTTCTATCAACATATCCCAAAGGCGTATCCAAATCTTAATGGTTAATAGTAGATCTTCTTATGCATATACCGTAGCTTTAGTCCCTACTTCTCCTTCTTATTTGCTGGATCTATCCCTTAGTGTTTTTTATGGCCTCTACTGTAATGGTGATAACCTCCTGCTGTCCATTTAAGCAATAGATCATCTCAGTAGGAGATATTGTAGCTTGTCTGTCACAGCAGTTCTAATACTTCTCTTCCCAATGCTGTATCAAAATTTCAATGCTTAATAGTAGATAATCTCGCACATAGTATGTAGCATTAGTCCCTACTTTTGCCCCTTATTTGTTATATCTACGCCTTAGTGCTTTTTCGATGGCCTCTACTGTAAAGGTAGTAACCTCTTGCTGTCCGTGTAAGCAGCAAATCATCTCAGTAGGAGATTTGGTTCCATACATCTTTTTTTCTGATTACATATTCTGCAATAGAAGAAACACAAGCTCATGTACAACATGTTGCCATAAAATCATTTTATACAAAAAAACTCAGGTACACTAAAAATCAGACAAGAAATTAGAATTAGGAATTAAGAGTGTATTGCATAAATTCCACTCAGTCACCCAAACAAATTAGAAAAAACCTCACGTCTCAACAAAGGTCATCCGTACATATTGACACATACATCCATAGGCTGCAATATTCAGCATGTAAATGTCAGTTCAGCCGAATTTTTATGATGGCTTATTTCTAGTCCATTTCAAACATAATAATTAAGTAGCCACTCTCAGTTGAGGACCTCAAATCTCAACTCGATGGAAGTTTAGCTTCCACTCTTGCCGATTTACAGCTTTCTTTCCCTATAAAGTCAGATATGTGCTATTGGCTTCACACACTCCTGCATAAGCCTACTTTCTTTCATAAGTCAGCAACTTAAGTTATTCGTTGTGGTCCCAAAAATGGCTGCCAAGAAGTGCTCTTTGCTGAAGGAAGTCAATGACTCAACTGACAGATGGAGAATTACAGTTCGTGTGATCAGGAGGTGGAATGTCTACAAGAAGGAGTCTCCTACTAAGGTTTTTTGTGTGTCCATGCTACTGATAGACGAAGAGGTTAGAATGCTTTATATCCCTTTACCTAAATAATTTTCCCTCTGTCAATATGCACACACTACTTACCTTATTTCCTTTTCTTGTGTTGGCAACAAATAGGGGACAAGAATCCAAGCTTCTATCATGAACAAAAACCTATTTGATTGTTTTAGTGCCATGGCAGTGGAAGGGATAACTTATTTTATGGCTAATTTCGTCGTCTCTCCAAATAATAAGGAGTACAGGGCAACAAACCATGCTTTCAAACTGACACTAGGTACTTACACATATGTGAAGGAAGTACTTGCCCAAATACCTGAATACTCTTATCATTTCTTCCCTATTCGTGACATAATTAAGATGAAGGAGAGCAACCATGTTGACTATCTTATTGGTAAGTGTAATATTAAGTTCAGGTTTTCCTCCTTTATGAGTTCGACTATTGTTCCCCACTACTTAGTCATCCTGGTTTACTATTATATTCCTTTGTTAGATGTTATTGGATTCGTTGCATCAATTGGGCATCTAGAGGAGTACAAGTCTAACAATGAGATCAAGAACAAATTGAGATTGTTGCTGGTAGATGAGCTGTGAGTATCTTACATAAATGGTGTTTCATTTGTTGATTGGTAAACCTTGAGACTTATCTGTAATGTATCTTTTTTTCTTTCATTCAATATGTGTTTGCTAATGTTGCTAATTGATGTTTGCATGGTACTTTAGTATGCAATTTCTTTCAGTGCAATACTGTGGGTTGCGTTCTTTATGATGACTGTGCAACCAATGTCTGCATGATGGATATTAGCACCATGCAATCTCCTGTTGTGATGATTATGCAGCTTGGAAGGATTGGATTTGATGATGATGGTGATTCATCAGTACTCATTTTGGATATTCTTTTGTGTAGTTCGTCCTCAGTAACTGTTATGTTTTATACTTGCCATTTTCCTTCAGGTATGGCTGAGATTTGCAGCTCATACCATGCCACCCAGATTTCATGCAATCCAAAGTTTCCAGAAGTCAAGCATTTTATCGATAGGTATAGTGCATTGGCATGTCCCACACCAATGTTGACCATTCTCATATGTCATTTTATTCCCATAAACCATAACTTATTAATTATTGATCCGTATCATTGGAGCAGTGCTACCACATTACCCTCTCCTACTATCAGCACAATCTCTCATACTGCTACTACACAATCAAATGATCAGTCTGCAACTAGCCTGCTCCGTAACCATCCTTTGATTTTTGTTGCAGACATATGCAATCAGCCAGCTGTAAGTATTTTCAGACTTCATTATTTTTAGTAATTTCTTAACCTGTGATATGGTAGATTACTGGTCTGATCACTGTAAATGTTTGATAGGATTCGTTCTTCCTCATAAAGTGCTTAGTAGTCAAAGTTGACACGAGCATGGCTGGTGCTATGAAGGTTGCTCCAGGTGTGGCAGCAAACCAAGGAGTGTGAGTGGGAAAAAAACATGCATTAATTGCAAGAAAGGACATGTGACTTTTGAACCCAAGTACAACTTTAACTCACCTCATCTTCAGAAATCTTTTATGGGTGCGAGCTTCGCTTAATTAAGGTTAATAATGAGTACTATTTATAGGTTAAGGGTCCACTACACGGTTGAGGATTCATCTGGCAAGGCAACTGTAGTCTTCTTTGACAAACTTGCTTCTAATTTCTTCCAAAAGACTGCACTTGAGATGAATCACACTCTTATTAAGGTAATGGATTATTTCTGTTGATCATGTATAGTGTAGTCATGGCTTTGCGTCACTTAAAAATTAAAAATGTGTATTATGCTTCTTAAGGAGGAACGTGAATATGATTTTCCTGATGAGCTAGACCTAATGGTTGGAAAGACGGTGCTGTTGAAACTTAAGCTGAACAAGTATAACGTTGACTTCCCAAATTCTGGCATATCTGTTGCATCATTCACACAGTGCACTGATTTGATGGATGAATTCAATGAGGCAAGACACTATTATATTGAAGTTCCAATTTAAGGGCTTTGTTTGTTTTTCAACTTTCAATTTCAACTTACAGTTTTTTTGGAAAAAAAATGTTCCTGCCATGTACAGGTTAGCGATCAGAACACCCATGCTGAAGAAGAGGTACTTAGATATAAACATGTTGCTAAAGTTTTAATTCCCTAACATTTGGAGATAATGTGTTGTTTGTTTCCTCAATGTTTATAGGCCACTGACACAGTCGTTCCTGAATCTGTCACTGCTGACCCACTAGTATTGAATGAAGTTACTAATGTTGCCATCGACGAGAATGATGAAGACAGCCCCGGCATTGAGGAGATACCTCTGTCTAGGATAGCTGGCCCCTCAACTTACAGGCCAAAGAGGAAGGTAGCTGGGAAGAGGATCATTGGAGTTAAGGAGAAATGGGTTCGTTCACCCAATGCCTCACCTATCAAGACATCGTCCAAGCCTTTAAAGAGCATCAAGCAAGAGAAGAACTGAAGAATTTTAGTGTTATTGCCATGTCTTGTCATTGTCATCTTTTGGATTAGTCCTTATGAGACCATGTCAGCTGGTTTCTGGTTTCTTCATTAGGAATGTAGGATCTTCTATGTGGCTACGTAGTTGATTGTCTTTTAATTTATGCAATGTCTTTTTGTGTGTCACTTGGCTTCATGGACCTGGTGACTAAACGTATGTTATCTGTGTTATTTGAATGGCATGGCTATCTTAAGTATTAATATTGATGGTTCTATTTCAAACAAAATTCAACTGGGAATGATGCTGAGGCTTAAGCTTCAATTCTGGCTTTAATAAATACCTGTTATCAGTAGTTGGTAGTAATATGTTAAACTGAAATTCAATAATGACATATCAAACATCACTTGGAGTTTAACATTTACTGTAGTTGGTGCAACAATTGACTCAGATGGGCCTAGAATAAATACAACCCCAACAATAAACAGTAATAATTAACAGAGTGGTATAAAATTGCGCCACTTGACACTTGCAATTCCTCCAATCTTGGCTGAGATTATTTTTGCCCCAAAATGAGGTTATCCGTGTTGCATGGCCTGACATGCCTTTTTTTGTTCCCACAACTGAATAAAGCCCGATGGTTGTTTTTAATTGGCCATTCTCAAGCCCAAACCTTTAGGAATAAAAGATGCAAATGAGGTTGGTAGAGTTGCATGTGTGGATTTTGCTTCATTAGGTGTTTCTTGCAGACGTGTATTTTTTTGCTCATTTGTAGCTTTTTTTTATTGGTCATAGAATTAGCTAAAATGTAGTCAATGCTTCATATGAAATGGGCCCATGATTCTTCGAATTGATAACATATCAATGACCTTAAGTTACTATCTTAATGCAGCTCCTTAAATATTTATTACTTAAAGACATAGCTCACCCACAAAAGTTGCTGGTTACTTTTTTTCCAGCTGTAAACATTGAGCAGTGCAATGATTTGACTGAATCCATTTATCAATGCCAATATAGCCTACACTGGTGCAGACTTATTTGCTCTACAAATAGTAGGGATTCATTGCTACTAATAGTTGGCTTGATTTTTATGACTTATTTTCTTTGTTCATTACAAATTGCATGAAGTCTTCTCTGTTAACCATTACTAAAAGTGCAGAGTAAAGTATATCCATAGCAAATCTAAATACTGCAAAACACATGAAGAGGAAACCTTCATACATTCCACATGAGACTTTTGCCTTTCTTGAGAACAGTCCACGACAAATCACCAGACCAAGAAATCATTCAGGGACCACATACGCAAATTTTCCAAAAAGGAATGCAGGTATGGTCAAAATGCGTCTCGTGGTTATGTTCATGTACTGGGCATCCTTTGTAAATTTGTAGTGAATGATTGAATCATTGTGCTATTATAGATTGTCCAGTGTACTTAGGAAATGCTAATGGCAGACCAGAGATGTACACTCAGGAAAATGATGTTCTGCAAAGAAATACAAACCCATCGAATAGGTGCAAGCCAAGAAGACCTGCACTTAAGGACATTTCAAATGTTGCAACAAATTTGGAAACTGAATTCCAGAACTATACTAGGCCTGGTAAATCATTATCAAGTTCATAAGTTTTTTCTGCTACGATTATATCTCATGCATTCTTCTACTACTAAGGCTATCTAATTATGTTTCCTATTGTACCAGGAGAACTTGAGTTCAGGAACAGTGTAGTTAGGCGAAGAAGCAGTAGATTAGTAGCATTTGAGAATCTCAATCAACGTAATGAAGGCCCTGTACTAACAGAGGATACTGTAGGTAATAGATTATCAGCATTTTAAATATCTATCAGTGATTTCTAAATCAAAAATTATGACCGTTACCATCCCTGATTTTCATTAACCTTAGGAGCTTCTGTGATATGTGTTGTCCATGCGGAAGTATAGCATTATGAAATATGCACCTATCAATTCTATCTATACAAGATTGCATATTAGATTGTTGTCTTTCTTAACAGTATTGTCACCATTACGTTACATGTTGAGCATACATGGCAAAGGTGGGAACTAAAACTGATTAATCCAAATCATAAAGAGATTTTGCATTAAGCTACAGGTTCCTAGTAGGTTCAGTTGACTTAATGGAAGGTAGCGAACAGGTTATATGAATGCATAGTTAACAGCACACACAAAAATAGTAATTCGAAACTATCATTTGGTTTATTTGGCAAATATACATGTCCTTATCATTTGTAAATTTGCAAAATTAATAATCCAGTGCATGGTAATTGCAGTATCGTAGAAAATGTCAAATCCTTCTTTCCAGTAGACATTACATCTGTGTTTAATATAGTATGCACCCTCTATCTATCCTTTCGTTCTAACAATTCAAATCATTGATTGTCGCCAGATATCAATTATCTTACTTCACACATACCAGAACAAATGGATGGCATGATTCCATCATGTTCAACCACAGGTTTGATTAGTTTTATTCCCCTTTTGGTTAGACATCACTTGATTATATTGGTTATTGGTTATCTCTGCAGATGTTGTTGTAGAAAATGCTGAGGCACGGTATAGGAATCTAAGCTTTTGTTTTGACGGACCTTGTGACACTGGCAGTGAAGTTAGTATAGATGAGTATGATAATGGTGAGGGTTAATAACATATTATCAATATTAAATTTGGAAATTCAGTAATCTTATTTTTCCCCTTCTCCTGAACAGTATAACTCCAAGAATAATGGGCATAAAAAGTTTTGTTTGACATATATGCTGTGAGTTAAATAGGAACTCCTTTATGTTATTATTGAATGAAGTCAAAATATCATCCAGTCAATGTTGCACTGGGACACTAAGTATGATACATGTTGGTATAAATCAACACACATGCTTTTCAGGTGACCAAACTTCAAATACTTTTACATTTATTGAACCTGACCATACATCTATGAAGGCGCACAGTGCTGAAGCTACCCATAGCCAAGGTTAGACATGCTCAATTCTTTCCTAAATATTGTTTTCTACATAGTAGCATAATACAATCGTAGGTGATCAACCTCTGAAACAATCATTGGAATGAGAAATTCTCTAATTATTGAGTTCTTATTCATGTTTTCCCATTTACATGTTTCTTCCACAAGTCACAGCATTGATGAAGTTGACTTAGAAAGCTGTCAACTAATTAGATAAATGATCTTGCTGCACATAGACATGAGTTCAATAAAAACTCCCTTATCTTATTATTGAATTAAGTATAAATATCATCCACTCAATGTTGCACTTGCACACTAGGTATAATACATGTTGGTATAAATTAACATATGTGCTTTTCAGGTGATCAAACTTCAAATGCCTTAACATTCATTGAACCTGACCATACATCTGTGAAGGCGCACAATGGTCAAGCCACACATAGCCAAGGTTAGACATGCTGAATTCTTTCTAATATATTGTGTTTTACATAGTAGCATAATATAATCATAGCTGATCAACCTCTGAAACAATCATTGGAATCAGAAATCCTCCAATTATTGAGTTCTTATTCATATTTTCCCATTTACATGTTTCTTCCACAAGTCACAGCATTGATGAAGTTGACTTAGAAAGCTATCAACTAATCAGATAATGATCTTGCTGTACATGGACATGAGTTCAATAAAAACTCCCTTATCTTATTATTGAATTAAGTATAAATATCATCCACTCAACGTTGCACTTGCACACTAGGTATAATACATGTTGGTATAAATTAACATATGTGATTTTCAGGTGATCAAACTTCAAATACCTTAACATTCATTGAACCTGACCATACATCTATGAAGGCGCACAATGGTAAAGCCACACAAGGTTAGACATGCTGAATTCTTCTGATATATTGTCTTTTACATAGTAGCATAATATAATCATAGCTGATCAACCTGTGAAACAATTATTGGAATGAGAAATTCTCCAATTATTGAGTTCTTATTCAAATTTTCCCATTTACATGTTCCTTACGCAAGTCACAGCATTGATGAAGTAACTTAGAAAGATGTGAACTAATCAGATAAATGATCTTCCTGCACATGATCATGAAAGGTCATACTTGGCCCTCTTTAGGAAACAAGTAATTGCCAGAAATTGAGTTGAGAAGGATATGAAATTCTGAAATGTATGCGGTGTCATATATTATACCTGATTTTTTTTTCTCCTTTGCATCAGTGCATGGGTTCAATTTCTGTTCATTAAGGATATGCGGTTGTTGTAGTTGCAGGATACGTTGATATAGGGGATCCTACATTTAAATGCCAAAGATGTGGTGCACTAATGTGGTTCAATGAGAAAGTTGGATCAAACAAGTATGCTAGAAACCCATCATTCTCAATGTGCTGTCTTAAAGGAAAAGTTCAGCTTCCTCCTCTAGCACCTCCTCCAGATCAGTTTGTAAGATTATTTTTTGATAAGAAGACACCATCTTCAAGAAACTTCCTCACAAACATAAGAACTTATAACAATATGTTCTCCTTTACTTCTATGGGTGGTAAAATTGATTACTCAAAGAACTCTGGTGGTGGTCCCTATTCATTTGTTTTGTCTGGCATTAACTACCATAGGATTGGAAGTTTATTACCTCCTAAAGGATCAAAGCCTGTTTACTCCCAACTGTACATATATGATACTGACAATGAAGTATGCAACCGTATATCTGCTATAAGGTAATTTTTTGGTTAAGAAGGTTACTTCTTGCTGATTTGCATTTTTTCTTTAGTATCATTAACATTGATAATAATATTGTTGATCATATCAAGAAAACCCTTGATGATGCCAACCATTTTGTAAAACAATATCGAGCAGCATCATCAATGATCAAGAATGACCAAAACACTGATGTGAAAATTTGTTAATCAGTACAAGAACGAAGGATGGGCAAAATTACAATTTGCCGTCTACTTCAGAGGTTGCTGCTTTAATTGTTGGTGACATTGATATGAATTTCGGTAGAAGAGATGTTATAGTTCACAAGTTGTCAGGCTTGCCACAACGTATTGATGAATTGCATCCTTCCTATCTTCCACTCCAATACCCAATATTATTTCCTAGAGGTGAGGATGGTTATCGTGACAATATAGAACATCGTGAAGAGACTCTTTCTAATACTAAGAAGAAAAAGCGGGTTAGTATTAGAGAGTATTTTGCATATAGGTTGATGATGAGGGAAAATGAGATGTCAACCATACTTCATGCAGAGAAGTTATTCCAGCAATTCATAGTTGATGGTTATACCATGATAGAAGCTCAAAGGTTATTATGGGTCAAAATGCACCAGAAGGAACTTAGGGCAGATTTGTATCAGGGATTGACAGATGCGCTATTAACTGGAGAAAGAAGTGCATCGTCCACAGGGAAGCGTATAATTCTTCCATCTTCCTTCACTGGAGGGGCACGATATATGGTTGGCAACTATAAAGATGCAATGGCTATTTGTAGATGGGCAGGTTACCCGAGTATTTTCATTACATTTACATGTAATCTAGCTTGGCAAGAGGTCACACGATTGATGGAAAATGAATCATTATCTAGTGCTAACAAGCCGGAGATACTGTGTAGGGTTTTCCATATAAAGCTTAAGGCTCTAATGGATACAATCAAGAAGAAGAAGATATTTGGTACTGTTATTGCAGGTGAGTCAAATTTTTGTCTCTTCTTATGATAATGTCAAGATACTTTAATGATCTATTGCTTA